CGAAGGTCAAATACCTAGGCGTCACCCTCGACAGAGGGATGACATTCCGTCCCCACGTAAAAACGGTACGCGATCGCGCCGCGTTTATACTAGGACGACTCTACCCAATGCTTTGTAGACGAAGCAAACTGTCCCTCCGTAACAAGGTAACCCTCTACAAAACTTGCATACGCCCCGTCATGACGTATGCAAGCGTAGTGTTCGCTCACGCGGCCCGCACCAACTTGAAACCCCTTCAGGTTATACAATCCCGATTCTGCAGGATAGCCGTCGGAGCACCATGGTTCCAGAGGAACGTGGACCTCCACGATGACCTGGAGCTCGACCCCGTCAGTAAGTATCTACAGTCGGCATCGCTGCGCCACTTTGAGAAGGCGGCACGACATGAGAACCCTCTTGTCGTGGCCGCCGGAAACTACATACCCGATCCTGTAGACCGTTTGGTAAACCGTCGACGTCGCCTAAAGCACGTCATCACGGATCCTCCTGATCCATTAACGGTGCTTTTAGGCAATACAAGCACCGGTCACCGTCCTCGTCGAACCTGTCGCTTGCGACGAAGGGCTCGACGAGCGAATTAACCCACAGACACAGCCCACTGAGTTTCTCGCCGGATCTTCTCAGTGGGTCGCGCTTCCGATCCGGCGGTAGATTCTGCGAAGCACTGCTCTTGCTAGGGCGGTGTTAGCAATTCTCCGGTTTGAGCCCCGTGAGCTCACCTACACAAGCTAGGGTACGCTGAAATAGCCTCTCAAGGCTATCAGCATAGGTAGGAAAAAAAAAAAAACAGACAGACCAAACATTCCAGTTCCAATTGCATCGCCATTCAGTCCGGACGCGTTTTTGCAAAAAATTGTCGCTGCCGTCGCGAACGTGTGTTTCGAGTTGTCCAACATTGTCGTTGTCGCACCGATCGCGGCATTGTTGTGCATTGCTGACGCACTGTCGCTGGCGTCGCGACCTTGAGTTGTGAAAACAGTTTGAACTTGAGTTGTGCATTCGAAACGCCAACTTCACATTATCATTCACTTATCCCATAGTATTAAATTTATTTATTTTATTCGGCGTGCAAAACAGTCTCTTTAGAGACTAACCCCCCACTGCGATCACCGCTTGTTGTGGCACTCACAACCCAGTGGGGCCCCACCTTCCCAAACTTCCACCCCAATCCCAGCTGACTGCCGTTCTCACGGCATAGGCACTCCCCCCTTGTAGCTGGTACAGCGCAGGGGGTATAACTCCTACTCAGGGGACTCGCCTTTCGGCGAGTGTGCCTTAAGTCCCGAGGACGCCCCCCCGGGCAAACTACGATGTGTGACGAAGACGACACCGCGATGTTCGCGAAATTTGTCCGGGAGTTCTGTCCGCACATAGTGTCGAAGTTCCGGGCCTATAAGGCCAGCCTAAAAGCGTCCCACGCACCGATCGCCGCCGCCGCGACTATTCCCGACTCGCCGATGTCGGCCCCCACCCCCGCGCCCGCGTCGATCGCGTCATGCGCGGCATCGAGCTCCGGCTCCGACTCCGAGTCGGAGATGGAGTTTGAGTCGGCCGCCAGCCCGGAACCCGGAACCTCCGATGGGTTCAAAACCGTCACGCGCGGTAAAAAACGCGCCCGCGCCGTGGAACCGTCCGCGGCGCCGAAACAGCCCAAGGCCGCGAACGCATCGCGACCTAAAGTCGTGGTCTCACCCGACTCCCCTCGCCGCGCAACCCCGTCGCCGCGACCCCAACCCGCGCCCGTCCGCAAAATTCCCGCGCCGCCGCCGGTAATCCTACAAGAAAAGACCGCGTGGGATCGCGTATCCCGTGCCTGTAAGGCACTTCACGTCAACATCGTCCATGCGCGTAACATCGCGCACGGTATCCAAATTAAGACGGCCTCACCGGACGATCACAGGGCGCTGACAGCCCACCTCCTAAGGAGCGCATAAGCTTCCACACTTATGCGCTCCAGAAGGATTGCGAGCTCCGCGTAGTAATACGTGGAGTACCGAAGGAGCTCGACGTCGAGCTAGTCAAGGAGGATCTCATCGGGCAGGCGTACCCGATTATAAGCGTGCACCGAATGCACAGCGGCCGAGATAGGTTCCCGTTCAATATGGTTCTCGTCGCGCTTGAACCTACTCCGAAAGGCAAACGGATTGCCTCAAGTCTCCGCACCGTTTGCGGCTTATCCGGGGTCACCGTCGAGGCCCCCTATAAAAAAGGCACTCCCGGGCAGTGCCACCACTGCCAACTTTACGGCCATTCCGCACGCAATTGCCACGCGCGTCCGCGGTGCGTAAAGTGCCTCGGTGACCACGCGACAGCCGACTGCTCGCGGGTCAAGGAGACCGCGACCGAACCGCCGAGCTGTGTGCTCTGCCAAAAGCAGGGCCACACGGCCAACTACCGCGGATGCCCCAAGGCCCCGCGGAAGCGTCTGACCAACGCGCCACCGAAAACCGTCGGCCCAAAGACTTCGGCGCCTCGCGCGCCGAAACCTGCCTTCGTGCCGGCACCGGTGCCCACCGTCTCCGCGTGGGCAAAACCGCTGCCGCTCACGCTGGCAGGGAAACCACCGGCACCCCAGCTCCTGCTAAGGCCGCGCCCCGCCCCTCGCCCCGGCCCCGCGCGCCCTGCCGTAAACGACTTCTCAATCGTGCGCAATTATATCGCCGCGATTAACATCGACCGCATACGCTCGTTCGCCGACGCCATGCGCAGGGCGGTCACGGCCGAAGATAGGCTATACGCGACGTTCGATCATATGGACGTCATCGAGTCCGTACAGCGCACGCTGGTCTAATACCGGTAATCAATGGCGTGCAAAGGTAGGGAAAAGCCCCGTTCTTTGAAGTTAGCATCCTACAATGCTAACGGACTCGCGCGTCAGCGCGATCAAGTTTATGAGTTTCTCCGCGACAATCTCATCGACATCCTTCTGGTGCAGGAGACCTTCCTAAAGCCCTCGCGTCGCGACCCCAAAGTCGCGAATTACGTCATGGTTAGGAATGATGCGTCGCCTACAGCGGGAGGTCAAATCCCGCCTAAGCGACGCCCGAAATGAAAATAGATAGTTATTTAGAAGAACTCGTGCCCACTCAACAAGCATACTGGCGACTAGCTACGCCCCACAGGCCAACCACCGGCTTACGATGACAAGGCAGAGTAATAATAATATTTATTCAAGCCTCTTAAACGGCACGGCAAAGGCACCCCCCCCCCTGCAAATCACTGCTGACAAGTACAGCGCAGGGGGGTCAAACCCCATTCAGGGAACTCTCCTTTCGGCGAGTTACATAAAGTCCCGGGGAGGCCCCCTCCGGGCACCCCTCCAAAATGACTGACGCGAACAGCGCGCTGTTCGCAAAATTTGTCTGGGAATTCTGCCCGGACATAATGTCCCGTTTCGAGGCCTACATACAAGGCCAGCCTAGGTTCGAACACATACGCACCGATCGCCGCCGCCGCGAATGTCCCGTCGGTACTCCCCGAGTCGCCGCTTTCCCCCCCACCATTGCGCCCGCAGTATCAATCGCGTCCTCAGAGGCCGCTAAATCCGGCTCCGACACCGAGTCGGAAATGGAATAAGAGTTCGCCGCGAGTCCGCAACCCGAAACCTCGGACGGGTTCACTACCGTCGCGCGCGGTAAGAAACGCGCCCGCGCTGTGGAATCGTCCGCAACAATTAAATTTAATTGTTTGGGCGGAGTAAGATCGTAGTCACGCCCGACTACCCCCGCCGCGCAACCCCATCACCACGCCCGTCCGCAAAATTGCCGCGCTGCCGCCGGTCATCCTACAAGATAGGACCTCGTGGGATCGCGTATCCAGTGCCTTACAAGGCACAAAACGTGAACTTCGTCCATGCGCGTAGCATCGCGCACGGAACACAAATTAAGGTGGCCACACAGGACGACCAAAGGGCGCGGACAGCCCACCTCCGAAAGGAGCGCCTAAGCTATCACACATGCGCTCCAGGAGGAACGCGAACTCCGCGTAGTAATACGCGGAGTACCCAAGGAGCTCGATGCCGAGCTAGTCAAGGAGGATCTCATCAGGCAAGCATACCCGATAATAAGTGTGCATCGGGTGCACAGCGGTCGCGACAAGTTTCCATACAATATGGTGTATACCATTCCATTCCATACACCGCGGAAAGCCAACGGATTGCCTCAAGTCTCCGCACCGTTTGCGGCCTATCTGGGGTAACGGTCGAAGCCCCCTTATAAAAGTGGCACTCCCGCACAGTGCTACCGATGCCAACTTTACGGGCACTCGTCGCGTAATTGCCACGCGCGCCCACTTTGCGTTAAATGTCTCGGCAACCATGCGACAGCAGACTCCTCTGTCCTCAGAAACCGCTTATGTGGTAGCACGACGGCAACCCGGGCTAACGATCGTTATTCCAACGAAACTCCGATTAAAAAACAAGAACAATTAAACACCAGGAAATTTCAAGAATCATCGCAAGAAATATCGGCGTCTCTGAACGAGTTTTAAAGAAGAAGTGGCTCTCAATTATTGTACAATGAAGTTATAAACGATTACTGGAGTTTAAATGGATAAAGTCATGGATACTACTAGCGACCAATAGTTTTTTTTTTTAATATGAAATGTGTTCAACGTGAGAAACACAATATATGGAAAATATTTCTGAAAAACCCTTGAAAATTTTACATCTAAACATTTCATGAAAATCATTTTGATGGTGTGTGTGTGTGCGCTTGTGTGATGTTGTGAAAACATGAATAGCTGTTAACATTGTCTTGTTCACTCACATGTGCCATGCAATATTCCTATCTATTCCAATATTTTTTCACTGCTTATAATATACCTGAATCATATTAGTGGACTTAAATTGTTTCTCCAATACATGACTACATTTGATAATATTCCCCACTAATTATTTTATTCTGAATAAATAAGACATTGTTCAACAATTAACAGACACTAAAAATTCAACCTTGGAACACAGGTTGAATTTTTACATAAAAATCAGTTTCTTTAATGTAAAGCTATCCATAACATTTAAAAAATTTTTTTTAATAAGTCAATGGCGTTTTCCATTCCTCATCATCATATTGAATAAATAGATTTCAAAATATCTGATGCCTTAGCTGTGATGTCTACATCAAGGGCACTAATGAACTGTTTTGCTGTCAGTAATGAATGAGCCTCAAAAGACCCCCTCCCTATAAACAATATCATACAGTAGACCCCTTTATCTAAGGTTTTAATAGAATGTGGAAGGAATCTGAATTGGCAGCTCCCAATGGCAGACAATGCTATAGTTGTATGTGTATACTAAAATAAAATCTATTGAATTTTTTTGTAAACTGCTTTCAAATGTTCACTCATTGGTGTAGTATCAGTTTCCATATACAATGTTGCTTCCAACTGATCATCACTCAGTAGTTTGAAAACCCTCTTAATTTTTTTCACAAAGGGTGGTTTAGCAAATGAAATTCTAGATAAATTAACTGTTTCTAAAATTACTTGATGTGTCTCTGTCTCACACAGTCCCTCTTCGAGTGAAGTCAGGCCAAAGTTGTGGCTCACGACGAAAGACAGCTCATTTGTCCCAGGCTTGATTCGAAGGAAGCCTCGTTCCTGATGCATCGGCGTCTGCTTTTCAGGGTGCCTTGACGTCGATAGGAAATTGTACATGGGCTGTCCTGGAATGTGAAAAATTCTTTTACAATCATATCTAATTAATTTCTAATTTGAAAAAAAAAAATCTGATTTACAAATCTTCACATAATGCCTAATCGATTTTTGGGGTACCCAACAGAACCTATAAAACTACAACTTAGTTATAGACATCCAGTTTGGAAGATTGTGATTATTGTTAATTGTATTGCTATTATTGATCGAAGTTGTATTGTGTAATTATTTCACTCTAGCAAGTATTATGACAAAACCTTCCCTAAAGTAATAAGTTTTAACTCAATCTTACATTTATTTATTTAAGTCTATCAACAGAATAAGAATGGGTTAGTTTCAAAATTCTTAAATAGTTTATTTATAACAAAACACAACTTCTCTTGCATTGTTTAGAAATGTTCATTCATTTGTTTAAAAGAGTAGTCTAGTTGCTTAAATGAAGTTTTAGTGAAACATGTGGTCCAGAAAAATAATTTCAGTAGTATTGCAGGTCCGCCACATTACCAATGCAGTAGTGGAAGTGAGAAGAATGTCATGNGGTTAGTTTAAAAATTCTTAAATAGTTTATTTATAACAAAACACAACTTCTCTTGCATTGTTTAGAAATGTTCATTCATTTGTTTAAAAGAGTAGTCTAGTTGCTTAAATGAAGTTTTAGTGAAACATGTGGTCCAGAAAAATAATTTCAGTAGTATTGCAGGTCCGCCACATTACCAATGCAGTAGTGGAAGTGAGAAGAATGTCATGGAATGTCTAATGGTGAGATTTAGTACTAAAGGCATATGCTACCATATGATAAACTGCAATACTGGTGTATTAAGAAGGTGGAAATGTTGGCTTTGTGTTGTGTTGTGGTGGTGCACTGCTCCTGGTCTGACATGAAAGGAGTGGGTTACTGGTAATAGGAAATATTTTAAATTAGAGGACAATTCTTTTGCTCAGCAGACCAACTGGTTTAAAACTTGTTTAGAAAAATTTAATCAAATTTTATAGTAATTTTTTATATTTGGTATTATTCAGAGTTTGTGATGAAATCAAGTCAATAATTCATATCTTATTCAGAACTATTCTTGGCTTAACAGGTAGTCTCCTTGCCAAAACACTACCTACTGCTTCACTGCTCTTGGTCTTCCCAAAGCTGGGTTCTTCTCACAAAAAAATAGGTATTGGAACCGATGGACATTACAATATAAACATAAGTAACAAACTTTTGCGAAAGCAAAACAATCTTAGCCGATGTCAAATGAAAAGAAAAAAAAATGAATGTAACCAAATATTAATTAAGGTTGTGAATAAGGCTTCTATATCAAACTTTTGAGACGAAGTTAAAATTCCAATCAATCATGATCTAGTTGTATATAATCATTAGGTAGTTAATGACAATATAAACGCAACTATTCAACTTTTGAGACGAAGTTGAAATCTCAATCAATCATGATCTAGTTGTATATCATCAATAGGTAGTTGTACTATACGACAAAAATGGAAAAAATGCTGGCACCTACCTCACTGTTCGAACTCAACAAAAACAGACGCGCTTGTAAACTCAACGGAAAACTTACGGAATCATTCCATTGTGGAAGTTTTCCGTGAACACGTGGTATAATAACCGGCAAACTTCTTGAGCATTTGTTGACGTAGTGGGGGTAAGTTTGCGCATGGTACACTCACGTGCAAAAACATTACTTACTCTGCGTCATAATGCTATTAAATTATTAAAATCAACATATGTATTTATTTATATATTTATTAGAACATCAACAAAACATATAGGTTAATAATTGTAATAATTTAATNAAGCCACACCGGCTCACCTATCGAGCCAATATTCCGGTAATTATTAGGAAATTCAGTTTATGTCACTCACCAATGCAGAGAAACTCCAAGTCTTCATGATATGTAAAGTCTGGTATGTTCGGATAATATCCTCTGCCATCAGTTGTGGACCAACGGCCTTCCAACCAGGAAATGGGCGCCAAAGCTTCATGAATCTTCGACATGTTTTATCCGAAACAAACCGTTCTCATATAATAAGTGTTTATAATCTATGCTCTTTGGCGTGGGCATAGAGTTAGAGTTGTAGGTTGTAGGCATGTTGTAGGTGATTAGGGATTGAGAAGTGAATGGGGAAAAAACCAGGAAAATCTTTCGACGCTCAATATTAATAATAATAATAATAATAATTTATTTATTTACTACATAAACTCTTAAATCATGACCTAGAATACTATTTACATATTTAACAAATTGAGAGAACAATATAAAATTAACCAATGATCCGCACACTAGGCATAGCCTGTATCGTGAGGACCAAAATGCAATTTACTATGTATATTGACCTCAAAACGACATCACTATTATTAATAATTATTACGCTCAAAAACATACGTTACAAAATTTAACATCTCATAAAAATGATTTGCTGTTCGTTAGTCTCGCTAAAACTCGAGAACGGCTGGACCGATTTGGCTAATTTTGGTCTTGAATTATTTGTGGAAGTCCAGAGAAGGTTTATAAGGTAGATAAATATGAAAATGCTCAGAACTAAATAAAAATAACAATTTTGTTTTTCCTTTGATTTGTCCCCAGTCGGACGGATTCCTTTTGTTTGTTTTAAGTTTATTTTATAAAAAAGTTTAGGTCTTTTCTTTATCGATTGAGGCACTACGAAGTCTGCCGGGTCAGCTAGTATATTAAAATAAAAAAAATTGAGTAATAAAAATAACACATCAAATAATTACCGTAAAATGGGGCGATTAGGGACAAATTCCAACTTTATGAGCAATTTTAAGGTAGTTGTTGATGTATATAATGCTATATCAGGATCAAAATGATTGAGTCTTGGGGGCATCTTTGTTGTCTAATTTAAAATTATGCAACTAGCATTCCAGTTTAAGCAAAAAATGCAAAAATAGGTGTAATCCCTATTTACCCGAAAATTGCGGTTAATTGGGACGAAATGAGAAATTTGCTAGGGTTGGCACTACTTTTATTTTTATATATAGTTTTAATTTATTTATTTATTTAGTTGCACCAACAAAGTGATCATCAATAAAAAAAATTGAAAAACTGACAAAAGTACATGGCAGACATCACCTCAATTATAGGTGCAATCGACAGTGCTGATATTTCTATCTGGGTTAAGAGATTAGGTGTGTCGGTTATTCCATGGATTAATCAGATGAATACCCCCACTCTGAACAAATATTAAATATTTTATTATGTATTACTTAGACATTTTTGTCCACCTTGAGATTTCATTGATCTTGTTACATGTCTCTGCAAAATCGACTTACTTATATTAAATTGCTTATCTATTTCAACTAAAGACTTATTCCCAATTTCGCTTCGAATAAACCAGATTTTTACCAACAAATTTAAAAAATATTGTTATAACTACATAGACAACCCTACAAACCTGTACCTATTTATACTTAGGTCGTTTCCATTTCACGTATTCTCATCCCAATTGACCCCTTTTTCGTTGTTATTTGTACCTAAGACGTCCCCAATATCCCCAAAAACAACAGATTTTTACATGTATTTTTATTTAATCAAATACATTAAAACCAATAACAACTGAGACTTACCTTTAATATATATGCTGGTTCAAACACTAAATAACGTTTATAAATCATAGTCGTCTTCTATTATTATCAAATAAATAAAAGAGAGCAAAGTTTCTAGCACTAAAATAATGACCACCACAGGAAGTTAATTTGAAACGCGATTTTTTATAAGTTAGCAGCTATTATCATGCATATTCAGAGTTGTTTTGTGAACTTTCAACATTCTACTATTAAACTACAAAAAATGGAAGATTTTGCAACGAATATAAAACTTATATTGAGCGTCGAAAGATTTTTCCGGTTTTTTCCCGATTCGCCTGTCAATCCCTAATCGCCCCATTTTACCGGTACACATACGTGGGGAACGTAGACATAAACAAATATAAAATAAATAAATAAGAAAAAATAAACTAATAAATCTACTGCTATTTTTTGCTTTTAATTAAGTTCTCCGTGTCCATATAGTTTAATGTTAACAACCATTTTTTCACTAGTGGTTTAGCTTGCCTAACCGTTTTGTATTTTAGGTTTTCATTACAATATCTAATAACCACGTTATAAATATAGATTTTAGCAACATCTTGAAATAGATGTTTTTGGATATATGGTAATTTTGTAGCTGTCAAAGTTACAGGTAATTTGTAAACCCTGCGTTTAATCAAGAAATTGTACATTTCAGAAGAGAGCACTGCTCCATGTATCAATAAAAATATTTTTTAAATGAATAACTGACGCACGTTGAGAACTTGACTTTCTTTGTAAACGCGTTCTGTGGAGTACCTTCGAGGTTTATTTAGTATCACCTTTAACACTGAACGCTGAGCTCTTTCTCAATCAATTAGCACAGTTTTTGAAGCAGATCCCCAACAGATGATACAGTACATTAATAGGGATTGGCATAGTGCGAAAACGGACTTGAGAGTATCAAAACTAGCCACGTCACATAGATTCTTCATGGCGTATACACATCTTCTGATTCGACCAGACAACTCCCGAATATGTGTCTCGAAAGACAGCTTTTCATCCACTACGATACCAAGATACTTTATTTCATTAACTCTTGCAATCTGCCTGCAATCACACGAAGGATCAAACCCATCGCAAACTTGTATTTTAATACTCGTAGATGCTGAAGCAGACATTGAGGTTTTGCAAAAACAGATGTAGGGGAGACCGGGGCAAGATGAAGTTCGGGGCAGGACGGGAAATAAGCTTTTGTTCATGAATGGTAATCGTGTTCGGACCGGTAACGGCGCCATTTGCACGAAATTCAGACTGCGCAAATGCGTCCGAGCAGAGCGAACGTATTGGATCTCGTTTTTGCGTTGTATAGGAAAAAAACTGATTTTGCAAGTGTTTTTATCCGGTTTTTGGTTAAGAAACTGATGTGCAGACATGTAAGTACTTGAATTAATATAATGTTTTAATCCTCAGGGTGTTGTAGTACTATAACACTTTAAATTCAGATTAGATTTTTGCGCCGGTAAGATTTAAGATTAGAATTGCTTCAACTTATTTGAATACATGTGGGTCGGGGCACAATGATCGGGGCATAACGGAATACTATCCCGTTTTGCCCCTTCCTTGTGGTTTAAATTATTTCTTCTGTGTACCCACTTACCTATCGATAGTATTGCAACCTGGTTAAGCAAGCGCCCATAGGCTACGGTAACCGCTTTCCATCAGGCGAACTGTAAGCTTCTTTGCTGACTTAGTGGTATAAAAAAGAGTATAAGTACATATTGTTGTAACTTCTACATAAGCAAGATATATAGTTGCTTTTCTCACAAAGTTTTTTTCTCAGATACAGTGGTTCGGAACTATAAACGAAAAACAGATCGTGGCAAATGGGACCCTGAAGTTCTGGGTCTTATGGGTTCTTAATAACAGGATGGGGCTTCCTCGAGCCTCTGCTACATATGATCTTCCGCCGCCGTGTAAGAAAAGCTCGTGATACTGTGGATGACGACATTGATTCCGGTAACTACTAAGTATGCAGGAAGCACGGTTAACCGGAAAATAACTTCGTGTAATAGCTTATCAGTTAACTCAGCGAAATCATATAGATAGCCCACTTAATGAAGAAACCGACATGGCAGGAGAAGATTAGCGTAAAAAACGAATACACAAAGTTGGAAATAAGAAGATAAAAAGAACTGAAGACAAGCATCAAGCTAAAAGACTCGCCAAAGAAATCGAATCGGAATATAGTTCATCTTAATTGGAGGACGGTGACTGGGCCTGCATCTATTGTGGTTACTTATACTAAGAGTCAACCGAGGGTTGGGCTATCTGCAGTATTTGTCATGGTTGGGCACACGATTCCCGTGCCGAAGTAGATGAAGAAGACGACGAGGCACACATTTGTAAACGCTGTCTGTTCGATTAAAATACGTACTCCTTTTGCCCCGTAGCATTTCCCATCTTACCCCGTCCATGGGGCAAGACGGGAAATTCGCCACATTATCGTTAATCATTATTTGTCAAAAAACTTCTATGATTTTGCTTGATAAAATTATTAATTTTAAGAAACAAATGTATAAGTGTTACTTATTTTCTTAAAGAATTTAATTAAAGAGTTGTAGCAAACCGACCGGTACGTCACTCTCGCGGCCGTATGCCCGCTCGCTATACATAGTTAGTATCTATGTCCATCTTTTCAACAGTGTATAATCTATGTTCCGGGCGCTTCCGTTTTGAGTGTGAATAGCGTGCGCCCGCGTCTAAATGTAATTATTGTTTAAAATTGAAAATTGTTTGTGATAAAGGAAGATTAAANGATTCTTCATGACGTATACACATCTTCTGATTCGACTAGACAACTCCCGAATATGTGTCTTGAAAGACAGCTTTTCATCTTATATGATACCAAGATACTTTATTTCATTAACTCTTGCAATCTCCCTGCAATCACACGAAGGATCAAATCAATCGCAAACTTGTATTTTAATACTCGTAGATGCTGAAGCAGACATTGAGGTTTTGCAAAAACACGTACGAGGGCGACACTGAAAATTTCGGCAATTAACGAAGTGACACAACATTACTATTTAAAAATGTATTTATTGCTTTTCGAAGTATTCTCCGCGAAATTTGACACATTTTTCATTTTCGAATTTTTTGTTTCGGGTTCGTACGCGTATATCCAGGATTCGTCACCTGATACAATGTTGTATACAGCATTTAAGGATCCTGCGTGGAATCTTTCGAGAGTTCTGGCGCACCAAGTAACGCGAGCCGCTTTTTGCTCTTCACAGAGCGAATGCGGTATCCATCGGGAAAACAACATTTTTACACCTAATTGTTCATGCAAGATTATTTGTATTTGACTCATGCCAATGTCTAAAGTTGCCTGAATTTCGCGGTATGTCACATGTCGATCTTCCTCAATCAGCTCACGCACAGCATCAACGTTTTCTTGGGTGACTGCAGTTTTTGGACGA